GCTTTGTTTTGTTAATTATGCCTTGATGGGAGGTCATACGAGTTAGCACTGCCAGTGACAGGATCCAATTTTGTTGCAAAGTAAAGGTGGTATATGTGTCGGGAATCAATTGGAACTTTCCATTCAAAGTAATCTGGCCTGCTGTGTTTCCCACGCACTGTTTCAAAACCATCCCGGCAACTAGCCTTTCACAAAAGCACTTTATTCACACAAAAGCTTACGACAATGCCAGTCCAGGCCTCGCCGGTCTAACTCGAGCACCATTCCAGCAGTTACAAGCAGGGAACTAGATCAATGGTTGCTGTGCAGCCTCGTCGACGCCTGTAAGTGCTCTGGAAATGAGCTGTGCAGATCATCAGTCACAAAACACTGGGCTGGTCACAGAGAGAGCTGTTTTGTCTTCGTTGCTGTGGCTGAGTAATATTGGCAGATGTATTAATGCTCCAAGAGGTGTAAGAGAGGCCTGGAGAAATTATGTATTGAACAGACAATCAAAGTCTAAAGAATTAAAATCATAATACTGCACTGCTATTTGTAACATGCCTGCCTGTCAGTGGCGCTTTTGGAGCATTTTTACCTCTTGGACAGTAGGGAGCACAAAAAAAAACAAAAAAGATAAATGGCTTTTCAACCATTTCAAAAAACACCCTCTGCCTCAAAGAGCTCTAGGTATTTGCCTGCACATTTGTATTAGCTACCATGCTGTGGAACAGAGTTGGGCATGTAATTTTGAACCATTATCACCTCAAATACCCTGCCTCATTTTAAAGGTTTTCCTCCAGAAAAGCAGGCAAAGACATTACATTTCCTCTTCTCTCCACCTTCAAGGAAAACTCCAGCAGTCACGTGTCATACAGCTGATTAACACAATAATTTCAGTGCTTGGCCATCTACAGTACTGTGGACAAGTCAGAAACACAGTTTATTCATTTAAAATGGTTATTAAGTACAAGTTATTAGCCTCTTTTCCACTGCAGGACTGAACGGTTCTGAGCATGGAGGCTAACAGTTCCAGTGGCTTTTCCACACAGACACGGTTCGACGTGGAAAGCTTAAAAACCGGGCTTAGCATGTTTTTTTGGCACGGTTAGCTAACTACACTCTGGGCCACAGAACCATTCAGTGGGATGAAGGAATGACGAAGCTATTCACCAATGGTTCTATGTTCATGTCGCTATTCTGCCACAGCATCCTGCTGCGTTATTTCAAACCCAGAAACATTTAAATAATTTCAGTTCACTCACATGGACGCCGAAGCAGTGCACAATTTTAAATACACCACTCAATAAACATCAAAGCTTCAACCTCATATCAACTTCTAATTGTTAAACGATGTTGATAACCAGGAGAGAGTATGCTTAAGAGTAATGCTAGCTAGCATTAGCTTATTGTTCTGCTCACCACAGAACAGGTTCGATTCTGACTAACAGAAGATTTACTGGTGCAAGTTTAGATGATAGTGACTAAAATCTGAGGAAACAAAGTCAAGTGGCTGGTGTTTAGGGACAAAAAACTGAAATTAAACCTGTTCTGTGGTGTTTCAAGTTGTACTATCCTTGCTAAGCTAATGCTAGCCAGCTCTTCTCTCCTAGCTAACTTACCTTAGCTAAAGAGATCCCAACAGCCCAGTACTGGATCGATTCAACTAGCCGGTGCTCTGCTATCTCACGTATAGATGATAAAAGCTTATATCAGTGAGAGCAAAGCGGAGTGACATATGTATTGGAGTGACAGAAAACCAAAATCGAACCTGTTCTGTAATGCTTTAAGCTGCTAGACTAAGCTTGCCAGGCTAAGGTAATGCGGATATATGGTGCATTCCACCGCAGTACACACTCAGCCCCAGCAAACCGAAGCTTAAAAACACCCATTGAGGATAAAGACTCATATATGAGAGCACAAGTTCAAAGTGACAAATAGAAAAAAAAAATACTGTTCTGTGGTGCTTTGAGCTGCATGGCGATGCTAATGCTAGTGTAATTAGCCGGCTGCAGGTGAAACCCACCTCAATACAGGCTTACCGAGTGACAGGCGGAATCAAACATGTTTTGTGGTGGGTGGTGTGTGTGTGTGTGTGTGTGTGTGTGTGTGGCTATTAGCCTGTTAGCAGTTAGCCACTCGTTTATGTAGTTTCCTTCAGTATTTCCTAACTCTGATTTAGCGGCACAACAGATGGAAAGAAAATTATAACCAGACTTATGAGCACCAGCACGGAAAGGCCCAGTATGGCCCTGAGAACCATTTGGCTCGACAGTGGAAAAGTTGCCAGTCATTGTTCTGCATCAGAAAAAGCAGAAAACATACATTTAACTGAAAATTATTCAGAAGTGTCAACAACTAAATATAATATCAAATGTTTCATTATTTAGTGTGTTCACTCTTTATTACAGCTTTCATTCTTTTCAGGAGTCTTGCTTTCAGTTTTTCAATGAAATCTGCAGGGATATTTTTCCACACCTCCGAAGTTCAGTCTTAGAAGTTAGAAATTACTGCTTCTCATGATCCAAGTAAACTCAAACCCATTCAGTGATGTTGAGGTCTGTTGTGGCCAGTCCATCATTCTGAGAACACCAGCACTTTCTTTGTTTGCAATGTTTCTTCTTTTGGCTATTTCCTTTATCTTACTAATGGCTTATTGACAGCTGCACATCCTTTCAGACCCATAGCGTTGTGAAAGGATGGACAGAGACAGAAGGTTTTTTCCCCACTTATTTACCTTCAACATTCCTCTTCCTTATGCAGTGTTCCCCAAGGCAGTGGGTCTTTGATTCAGCTGACCGTATGCTAAAGATGCAGTAGATAGACATTAGGCTGGAAAACCTTGAAGTACTCCTTGAATTCTTTACCCAAAGCCAAACCATGGATAAACGGTGAACTAAAGCTACTGGAGACAAGTTAACATGATCAAAATGTTGAAGTTTATCTGTATGGTGCTAACTGCCACCCAGGCGTTTTAATTTAAATGAGCAGGATTAGCATTTTTGATAAAAGTGTTACTTTAATACCGGTGAGTCCTCAGCTCGCTGGGAGGGTCCTTTCTCTCCCAACACACAAGAAACATCCTGCCAGAGCAGATGGTGTTCTTATGAAGCCTAGGCCAACAACCAAGTTCAGAGCTGGGCGAAGTGAGGACAACATGCGCGCACGCACACACACGCACACACATGCAGTGCACGCAAGCTCATTCCCTCCAAACAAGCAACAGGCTGTCTGCCAGGGTTCACAGTGAGAGTTCAGCCACTGTATCACCGGCAGTGATGGAAAGCGGTGGATTACGTGTGCTTTATTGTACTTAAGTTGTTTTTTCTCGTCCAGATTTTGTACTTTGTGAGGATTTGGAAACGGCAATACTTTCACTTGAGAACACTCTGACCGTTCTGTCTAACTCTACTACTTTTCCTCAGACATACCTCTGTGCTCAAAAACAATCAGGCAAAGTCCATTGTGAAAATGAGCTACCTAAATACCAAAGGAATTTCTACAGGATTCTTACAAAAACCTTTCAGTACATTTGGACAAATACTACAGTTTACTAGAGGACACTACACAAGTATTTTAGATTGCAGCCATTTTTATTTTAGATTACACCTTTCATTTTCCTTGGGGCTACATTAAATCTTTCTGATGTGCAGGTCTGGAATTTAGGTCATGTGTGATGATTATGACCTAGGGGTGGGCAATATGACAATATTTATCGTTATCGTGACAAATTACAGTCGTACAGCCCTGTTCAAATGATATGTTTTGTTGATGTTGAGGTTTGTTTTTAAGTAAAAATAAGTACAGCCTCTACAGAGAACATGCTTCTGAACATTTTTATGCATGATTACTGTTTATTTGCTGAATTTAACACATTGGTGGGAAAAAAACATAAAATGTGGCCTGTGCAAAAATTATGGAACATTTTATATTTTAAGTTTCTTTTTTCCCCAAAATGTTAAAATTAGCAAATAAACAGAAATTATGCCCTAAAATTAGCAAAAAAAAAAAAGAGCCATATTTAGGTTTATTCTCTGCAGAGGATTTGTCGGCTTACTTTTATTAGAAAATCCACAACACATTTAATCTAAAGGGTGTTCAAACCTTTTTTATATGACCCTGCGCTGCATCTCAATGTGCTTATCTGAGGATACAGTGGACATCAGTACTGAACACTGAACATTTGCATGTTTCATTACAAAGACAGCATAATTAGTCCTCTTTAACTGGATGAAGTGCAGTGCGAAACATTGTGAAAGAAACAATAAATCACTATATTCATAGTTTTTAGTATTTTTTAAATGCGGCGCTACAGTTTGTGTCTGTTTTAACTTATCATACCTCAGAAAAACAAAATATCATGGTACTTCTCATGTATTGCAAAAATATCACAACAGTGTGCATGTATGTGGGTGTTTCACTGCACGGATGGGTTAAATGCGGAGGTCTAATTCTTCCGTGTGCAAACACAGTTGGCTAATGGTTCTGAATTCAATTCAAAGCATCTAAGGGGTGCTTAAACTTTTGCACACAACTGTACATATACATACATATATAACAGAATCCCTCTAAAAAAAAAAAAAAAGGGTACTTTTTTGAGTTATACCACTAACCACAACCACATGCACACATAACTTAGAAACTCCCCCTGAGAAATTTAAATACTGCAAAAAAGGAAAACACACATGCACAAACACTAATGGCTGAGTCCACTGCAACTCTCAAACCCATGCTAAAGTAACTACAGTACGGAATAAACACACCAAGAGATTAAAAGAGGGTTTACATTGGCGAATAACAAATAAAGCCCGTGTTGTTTGAAGCGGCACAGATATATTTACTGAGTCTCCAGGGCCGGCGAAGGAGCTAGCGGTGCAGAGACTACATCTGACAACATTTCCCATGAACAGCCAACAGAGACTGTAATGAGGAGATGCAGAGGAGAGATAGCTGTAGACTGAGGCCATGTAAATATCTCCAGTGAGGCTAATGTGTATGTGTGTTTGTGTGCCATCCTGCAGAGAGCCTGATATACCAGCCTGGACTCCTATCCTCTACCAGCAGCAGCTCACAGAAATCAGAGACAAAGCAGACCCCCTGTCTCTGCCCATTTCTGACCGGATCCGCATCGGCAACCAGAAACGAGAGCGAGGGAACTTCTACTTTCAGAGAGAGGACTACAGCATGGCGGCGCAGGCCTACTGCATGGCCCTGGATGTGCTGACCACACGCACACACGGTAACCTAGGAGTGGGCAGTATGGCACAGATACATTGGAACAGATACTGTGTACCAGTAGTACCACATTCAACCCCTAGGCTTACTATTCAGTTATTAAGACCTAGGCTACATTCACAAGACCAGGCTAAAGTGCCACAAATATCACACAATTCTGTTGTTCTGTTGAGCTGTGTGGACACAAATTTAATCTTTTCAAATCAGAACTGAACCACTTTGGCTACGTTCACATTCACACTGTAAGCCTGAGCACTCAATTCCTATTATTTACTCAGATCTGATCTTTCTAATATGATGGTTTGTATTTGTGTAGTTAAGTCTTTGTTCAGACAGGCAGCTCAAATACGATTTTTCAGCATATGAGCAGGACAGATTTTCTGCAGTCTGAACGGCAAAAATCTGTCTTTTTCCAATCGGATTGGAATATGTAGGTGGTTTCAAATCTGATTCAAATTCAGATTCAAATTTGGATTTCTGGATATATGACTCAGTTTGACTGGTCAGATCAGATTTCATGTGTTGTTTTCGTTCAGGCCGTGGCGTTGCATGATGTTAGAATTTGCGACAAGAAAGTCAATGGTGCATATTCACATATTACATCTTAAACCCCATGTGTCAATCACAAGACCCATGGGCCAGATCAGCCCTGCGGCACAATCCAAACCGGCCCTCGAAGTTATTTTGATTTTCTATTAATATTACCAAATTTCACAATCAGCAGCACTACGATCCCCAGCGAGCACTGCAAAGTAATTTGCACTGACGCCACTCCCAGCAACAATCTATGGGACAGCAGTTTTTTTTTTACCCAATTGCACGTCATATCACCAAAAACACCAGCTGTGTTTTAGCTGCAGTTCAACCAAACATAATCACTAAAAACACTCAGCAGCTCAGAAACTGATCCCAGGAATTAATGAACTATATATCAGGTGTCGAGACCCAGCACACAGGTAGGTTTAAAAGACCTACATCCTGAGGACATTTAAAGAGATTTGACAGTTATCTGTAGCTAATGTAGCCTAAATACATTGTGTTCACATGTAATTTTTGACATTTTAGTGTATTAAAATATGATTTGTTGAGATTTTTTAATATGGTTCTTTTAATGGTTGGGTTTGACACCCCTGCCTTAAACACAGACAGTGGAAGCTTTTAACAGACATTTAACAGTTTTTTTTTTTTTTACTTTGTATGTTGTGGTTTACAGTGATTGCTTCATTAAAAGGTCTACACTTACAGCCTGTCTCTGAATATTACTGGGAGCTGATAGTAGTCTGTTGACCAGATCAACCTACAATAATGTCATGTTCTGTTCATCCTGTTGTTAATAAAAAGTGAAATGCTGTTGTGAAATACAGCATGATCGTTCTATTAGCTAGTTATCATTATTAGGCTTGATAAATTTAGACCCTACCTGGTTAGCGTACGCATACATGCGTCACTACTACAGCAACCACTGTGGATCTCAGCAAATGCGACTACAGTCTAACCACACAAATTAGATTTGGTCACTTGTAACTTAAAATCAACAGTTAGTCTAAAAAGTCAAATACAAAAAACCATTTCGATTTGCTCTACAGCACAAATACAGCCTGAGTGACTAAAATCTGTCATCAATGTGAAATAACTTGTGATCTGAATGAATAACATCACGTATATGAACAACAAACTAACCTGCAGAACAAGCCTGAAAAGCTGTCCACTGTCCACTGTTACAGCAAAACTAGCTTCAAGTTAGACAGTGCTAGCACATTAACACTGAATGATGATGCACGCAAAGTGAAAAAATAAATTAATTCCAATGTGATCGTTCTCATTAACAAATCTGATATTTATATGATCTAAGACCACTTACAAAGGACCACATCTCAGGGAAAAATTCAAGCAACCAGCTTAGAAAGTCATCATTTTTTTTCAGTGCTCCTTCAGTAACTCTGCGTGAGGTCAACTCTAAATCCCTCCCACCTTTTTAGAACAACGCAGGCACAGGTCAGTGTGTGACTACAGTAGAATAAACTCTCTCTCTCTCTCACACACACACACACACACACAGAAAATCTCTCATCTGTTTTGCAATCTGGACCCTGGAACTTCTGTCACTGTTGTTTGTTTCCAAATAAACATTTCACCACGATAAAAAAAACAACCTTTTAGATACAGAAGACCTTATTTATTTCACACTCTACTGCTGTCCAAGCCAGGCAGTCTGCTAGGACGTCTGAACAATAATGGTGTCATTTGAGTGCTCCGTCACGTCCACAAGATGTGAGTAATGCTCTTATTAAAGCTTCGGCTAATCAAACGTAAGAAATCTACATGTTATTTCCACCTCCTTAATCATGGTAATTGCCAGGGAAGCTGCTTCGACCTCGAGAGGAACATTTGACAGTAATGAGAGAGTGAAGTGCAGGGCGCCATTTCACAGCAGACACTGAAAATGACCACACACGTGTACAAAAAAAAAGAAAAAAAAATCATCTTCTCTACTGGCCTCACAAGTATCATGAATTTGATATATATATATATATATATATATATATATATATATATATATATATATATATATTCAGATTGATGGAGAATGTGTTAGATATGGTTCTATATAGCACCAAAAAGGGTTCTTCTATTGTTACAAGCTTCACATCGTAACAATAGAAGAACGCTTTTCGGTGCTATATAGAAAACCCTTTTCAAAAAGGTTCTGTATAGGACCATATACAACACATTCTCAATCAGTCTAGGTTCTGTATCAAACTACCCAAGTACAAGCGGAAAGTATGGAACCAAACATATACTTGAGTGAAAGTAAAATCTAAACAAAAAAATTTGAACATACTTAAGCCTATAAATGTAAAAAGTACATGTTTAATTAGAGATGGCACGATTCCACTTTTTCTTTTCTGATATCAATACAGATATTGAAACATTGAGTATTGGCCAAAACTAACACTAATCCAATATTTCTTATTTAAAAACTGCTATTAAGCTTTAAAATGAGCTATTTTTAATTTAATTAATTTAATTAATATGAGCATCTAAAAGTAGGCTCTCATGCTGAAACTACTAAACACTACTACCCCACAGGAAGAAACACACAACTTTTTTTTTCCCCACACAGGTTTAAGCAGATTCATTATTTTTTCCCTTCTGATATCCGATCCAGCTTTTTTTGATGATACTGGAACTATACTATTGCACATCACAACTGATTTGCCCTACTCTAGTTTTAATAATAAATTAGTTTTCATAGTTTAATATTTGGTACTGTGCGATGTAGCGATGAATGGGCAGTACTAGTCCTTATACAAAGATGAATTAGCATAATTATTTTACACTGATATAAACTTGCTTGGAAGTTAAAAAAACTTGACAAGTTTTGAGGCAAGTGTGGTAATTTAGGAAACTGAAGGATAAAAGTTTCTTGTTAGCAACATTTCGTCTCCTATGCATAACTAAAGAAACAAATTTCAGACACTAAACACGTCTAGATAACTACGTTTGGGCTAATGGGAAAATTGTTTAAGTTTGATTTTTTGCAGAATTATTGCTTTGCGGTCCCAGGGAACATTGTGTAAAATGTTAAAAATGTTTGTATCATACTAAAATTTAAACAAAAAAACTAAAACAAAAAAACAAGTGAATCGGGCACTACGTATGCAGGGGGTGTTCGCTGGCTCACCAAAAACATCATCCATCTGTTAAGTGGCAATGTTCTAAAGAAAGTATGGCTCTTGTTCACTTCTATGCATTCAATGAATACACACAAAAATGCTGGCATTACTGGTTGAAAAAATGCACGGACAGATAATGGGCAGTGACAGATTTTGGTTATGCTTGCTAGGTTTACTTTCGCTTGATTGTTAGCATCTCTGCTCAGTAAGGTTCTCTGACCCCAACAGAGTGAGAGAGTAGGTAACGTATAGTTTTGTAAAAGCTGTATGTGCAATGCATGACTGGTGACTCGTGACGGTAATGCTAACAGAGGCTGCCCAGTTTACACCAACAAAGGAAGAAATATGGCAAAATATATCAGCCATATTGGTCATTGGAATGTTATTCAGAGGGCGTAATTTGTCCACATATATTGTTTGCCTAAAGGAGCAAGATTAAACTAATTGGAAAGAAAACACTGATTTAAGAAACTGTGCCTTAAGACGCTGCTGTCACAGCCACCATTCTGTAGTCATAGAACTCCTGATTGTAACTTTGAAAGCATATAAAATATCCAAAATACTACCTATAAGGAGGACCATGGTTACCTGTCCAGTCTTTGTAATGGACTGCAGGTTAATAGATTCAAGAATACCTCTGAAGTACTGGAGGACCTCACATAAAGCTTCTCCTAGCTCTAAGCTTGGGAATTTCACAGAGCTGCTAACGAGAATTTTTTTACTGCACTTTACTACACCAACAAGGCTGAGATCAGGTGAGAGCTACAAAGAAACTGCAAGTGACCCCAGAAAGGTGTCAAGTCCCAGATGTACTATAATGGTTTTACTGCAGGTTCGTATAATGCCACTTTTGTTGTGCATATGGTCAGTCTGGGAGGGTGTTGATTGGACCTGGTGCAGGGACGGCTGGCATCACGCATAACAATAGATGCGAGATGACTGTGTGTGTGTCCGCAGACAGTCAAGACTGCACGCCGGAGGAAGAGGAGGAGGTTAATGACTACCGAGTCAAGTGTCTGAACAACCTGGCGGCGGCGCAGCTAAAGCTGGAGCAGTACAGCGAGGCACTGCACACCAGCCAGGACGTGCTGTTCCTCGATCCCAACAACGTCAAAGCACTCTTCCGGAAAGGGAAGGTGAGGGGCACCGTTTTTTCTGAGGCCACGTTTGCTGAGTCAGTCAGAATAGGAGGGCTGTTTCTGGGTCAGTTTTGGCACATTTCACATTTCACAACAGTTTGAACAGCATCTAGTACATATTCAAGCATCTCAGAGAAAGAATACAGACTCAGATTCACAGTACTGTATTCAGGATATGTATAAAAGACATTAACCAATTCTTGTCAGTTTGTTATGTTGATTTTGGTTAATTTCTGTTGCAATTTTGTGACAGGAAATGTCATATGAATCCCCAAAAATTGCCACAATAATGTGAAGCTGTCAAAACACTTTACTCACAATTGACACACAATAACATATCGCTGCTGCTGGAAGAAAACCTTGTGTCTCTGTTTTTGTCGTTTTTCAGTTTTTGACATAATTTGAAAATGCCTGTTGCCCTTTACATTGTGTGTACATTTCATGGTGAATGGACTAAAAGAAATGACCCAAAAAGACTTGGAAAAATGTCTGGTTCTATTGACTTACATTAAAAGTAAAGTAGGTTTTTTCCTTCTCCTGTAAAGTTACCATTTTGGAGATACGAAGTTTTCTTCTGACAACAGCGATATCTATTTACAGTCATGATAAATTATCTACCTCCAGATTTGATCATAACTTTTCAAATACAAGGCATTCTAAATATTAATTTATTTTAATAATGGAATTTCCATAATTTTCATTATGGAATCATCTGTTGATTTTCCTGGACACATCTAAAATTTGCAGAGTACTAATGTCAATAGCTGTAGAATACCTGCATTGAATAACTTTGTATTCAATATGTAACTTCAACAACCTGGATTTATATGAAAACAGTGATTCCAAACTTTTGAATGGTAGTGTTTTTTCATGTTTTGTTTGTCACTTATCTGAGAAAGATGAACAGGGGGGCAGGGGATGAGGTCATGGGTTGCTAGCGTCCTGGGGTATGCAAAGGTTAATAAATGTGGTGACTCAGCGCAGTGTGGAGGAGGCCCAGGGATGGATGCATCATCCTCCTTGAGAGCCAAGCAAGAATTGGTTATCATCTTTTATACCTGCCCTGGACACAATACTGTGAATCTGAGCCTAAATTCTTACACCAAGATGCTTGATACCTAAGAGCACATTAAATCAAACCTCATCAAACTCATTTTACGAGCTTCTGCGATGCCATCTTATGTCAGTCAATAAAACTAATCTAGTAGTCTATTATTCTTAGTAACTTTTCATGCTGTCCTGGGTAGAGGACTGAAAGCAGGTTTCAGGCCAGTCCAATAAACATTAAAAGGACCAATTCTGAAATTATTCTACTGTATTTGCAGCTTCTATCAGACAAGGGTGATTACGAGGAAGCCATGGAGACCCTGAAGAAGGCTTTAAAACTGGAGCCGTCTACCAAGGTGAGAACTCATCTCCTGTCCTCGCCTTATGTAAACCACCCCATGAGCTGTTTCTCTGTCAGGCAAGGACTGATTGGTATACAAATACCTGGCCTAATGAGCAGGCCTCTAAGCTGCTGTCTAAACTCAATGTTAGATACGTATCACGCAATAAGTGCTCTTTAATTAATGCTGTGAGCTCATGTGGTGAAATATTCATGATTCTGTTTACATAAAACTTTCATTAGCAGGATCTATTTTCAACATGCTGTTAAAAGGGGTCTCGAAATAAAGAGCGACTCACAGCTCATTCAGTGTTGGTGGACCCATTCAGCCTTTGCAAGACAAGGTCCCAGGGGCTGGCAGAACTCAAACTCTCAAACAACCAATTCATATGACTTGAATGCTTGTGCACTGGCTATGAGAAAATTTCCTCCAAAAATGCTCATATGGCTAATCGATGCCTATGAGTGTTCATTTGTCAACAGGAACTTTCCGATTTTGAGCTGAAGTATTCCTTTAAAACCATTCAGGTTTGCCAGACTAGGACTTCTGAGGTTTGATAAGTTTGAATAGATTTAAAAAGACCGAGTTCTTAAGAACGGTTGGTGAATGAAGCCCATTCATTTTTTAAGCGTTTTTCTTTAGTCGTTCATTTTCCATTTTAAATGCTTTAGCACACGCTGGCTAGGGCAGGTGTGCATCTTGCATACACACCATAATGCACACCTATTTTTTTCACATGCACAAGGGTGAATTGTAAACTCCATAGAAATGCTGCGATGATCATCCTGGTGTCTTTGTTGCAGAGCAGCTCCTGTGCTGTACTAATGGTGTGTGGGAGCAACACTTTGCTAGTGTTAAAAATTTGTGATTGTGTCAAAATAAAGAAATCCGCTGCTCACGCTGTCAAGTTTTAAACCTGTTGTAAAACTGTTTCATTATAAAAAACAACTAGAAAAAAAAAAATCACCTGAACCAGTTACATGACCGAGTCGGAGGCTACATTACTTGGCCTTATACTCACATATTCAAGAGCATTCATCAAACTTGTCATGCTTCCATGGTATACCAGCCTCTTATCACAAAGCACTGAGCAGTTTTCTCATCATCCCATAATTTAGAGCGCTCACACACACCCACAATTTCTTTCTGAGGGATCTCTGATATTTTAACTTCAGTGGCCACGTGGACAACAGTGCAGTTTGCTGCAGACGAGATTGGAATAAATGTATGATTCAGTCTGATTAATTAACCAAACCAGTTACACTTTCTTAATTTTTAATGTTTTCCACATGAAGCGTCCACAAAGCATTACCACTTTTCTTTTCCTTGATATACACTGGGTAACACTTTACTGTAGGGTACTGTTCATAAGGCTACATGACACCTATATAAGCTTGTAACTGACATAAACCTACATAAATCTTTATACAAGCTTTTTCCAATGGGTGTCATTCGCTATAAAGGTTACGTTTACCAGTTTTAATCTAAGTTAGCTAAAGTAGCCTTAATGAAAGATGACACCTATTGGTGCATTTATAAACATTTATGTAGGGTTATGTCAGTTGTCATGACAAGCTTGTGTAAATGACACGTAGCCTTATGAACAGTACCCTACAATAAAGTGTTACTATACACTGTTTACACATACAAGAAATCAGTGCTGTGTTATGATTAATACATAAAAAGTTCCATTAAATATCAGCTGTTATTTTTTCCCAAAAATTCATTACAACCAAATTGCTAAAAATGTAGAAAAAATATTTTGGAATTAAACTCTTCATATATTAAAAATAACTGTTCTATTGAAATGCCATTGTTGATGGAATTTATTTTAGGCAACAATATTTGTGGCTTAAAGGCAAAGCGTACCCTAAATAGATAAATGGTAACAAACAGACACTCAAGTATTCAAATCTAACTAAGTACTGAGGATATCTATGATATGCTCAGAAAAGCATCTGGTGATGTAATTTATCTAAAACCTAAAATATGGGTTTGATAATGATAAATATTGTCATACTCCCCACCCCTAGTCACAAGACTTGTTTACAAACCAGTTAAACTCTGCAGAGATCTCTCAAACATTGAAAGTTCCCTGGGACTTCACACAGTGGGATGTGCAGCCCAAACATAAATACATGATTTTCCCCATGTGGATTCGGAAAATCCGAAAAAGAGTACACATAAGTATTATTTGCATATCGTTACAATACGATGATGGGGAATAACACAGGCTTGTGTTCATTTACCTCTACAGTTGCTACTGACAGGGCTGAAACCTGTCCTGTCATGCCTCTGTGGATAGAACAGCCTGCCAAATCCTCAGAGCAGCCTCAGAGATTAGAGCTGTCTGGAGCCACTACACATACACATTGCTGTGGTGCTGCCAAAGTGGGGGGGATCAATACTGTACCTCTTCACTGAATTGACCACAGCAGACAATACAGTGCAGAATGTACAGGATGATGCAGGGCGCTGACACTGCACGATAGGTCGAGCTTCTATTCTGGTCTAAGCCTTTAGTGAAGTAGAATTACATGAAATAATGCCCTTGGCAATGCTACTCAACACACCATTTAGAGTCCTTTAGTGCAGACACTTTCAAATTATCTTGAAGCACTTAATATGCCTGTGAAATCTTCTCCTCTCAACATCTTTCTTGTGCCAAATTCTTTATTAAAAGTGCCAACAAACAGCTCATTTAAACAAATGAACTTTAAAAGGCCCTCAGTGTTGGGCAGCCTCAGATCCCCTGCCACCTCACACTGACCCACTCCATACGGTCACCGTGGCAGTGACTGAACCATGTCTAGACAAAACTGAAAATATCTGCTGTTGCTCTAATGGCAGCCTTGTCTGGATGGCATGAAAAAAAAGAAACTTTCCCTCTAGAGTGAGAGAGAGTGTCTGGATTTGAGAAAACAAACGATGCAGTTCTGTTGCCGCATACTGCCCTTGCAGACTGTTTTGAAGTAGCCCATATGTTTACAGTGTGTTCCTCATTAAACTGGCTTTACTGATGTCTATGAGACGTGTGCATGCAACGCTGACTCTGAATCCAAGCCCGTGAAATTATTTTATTGAACATGGATTCTGAATCCCGCCCATGCCCACTTCAATGCTGTTTTGCGGCTTATGAGCAAGCAAAGCTCCATCTGGCAGCGAGGGGGAAAAAAAGATATCAACAACAGCCATCAAGACAGAATCCAACATCAAAGTCAACAGGTGAAGACGATACAGTCTGGAGACAGAGTAATTGCACCATAAGAAGAATTATTGCAAGCATTAGCTGCAATAGTACACTATCAGCTCAAACGAGCTTGCTCTTTGGCAGCGTATTAGAAAACTTCTTATTCGCAGAACTATAAAACTGCTCAGCACTAAACAACAGCGGACTGACCCTGGCATTTACAGCTTTAACTGTTATCATTATTCACCTTTAATAATATACAATGAGTGCCCTCAAATCACAGCTGTTGCATGGTCTTTGGACCTGGTTTATTAAAGGGAAATTCCACTGATTTTTTTCAAATAATTCAGTTAAGATGTAAACAAGGTCATTCAGAGTGGTTTGATGTGAAATAACTAACTGTAAAGAAACTTACTGGCTCAGGTTTCTTTACAGTGGTGGTGACAGGAACCAGGGGTTACAATGTTTACAGCACAAATATAACCATTTTATTTGCTTTGAGGTTTTATATGTAACGTTGATCATGTTAAAATAGCAGTAAACCTGAAAATGTGTTTTTATGCGGGCTATTTTTCTTTACAATGCCCTTCATGTACCCCTCTGTCATTAATATATTTTTAAAAATCTGTCCAAAGCCTATCTGAAAACATCGTAAAACAATGCCTCAGGTATAAGGTAACACTTTTGTGTTTCATGCGATCACTTTCTGTGAGGGAGCTTTTAGAGGCATTAAATGCTTTGGATGCCTGGTTCCTATCACCACCACTGTGAACAACTCTGAAGTTTCTCAGGACTGACTTTATTTACATCTTAATGATTATTTATGTAGAAATGTAAAAAGAAAATGGTGCGATTCCCCTTTAAAGCTTATAGCACATTCAGTCTTTTAGAAAGCTAGTGAAAAATGGCTATATGAGTCAGTATCTGGCTATAGATTTTTATTAGTACAATGTGCCAAATGTTTTGATCATCCTGTAAGAGATTGAAGTGAAAAGGAAAACAAGAAATGTGTAAGCCAAGCATGCTTCTGATGGGAATATATAAGGGAAAAGAGAAAATTTAACACGTAGTGATGCAAACTCCTCACCTTTCATCGAAATCCACTATTGCAGTGGCTAACTTTGTCATCTACGTGAGCAACAGAGCATCATATTTCCCAATCGATGGGCATTCCCTTGCTTGACAACTGTTTTTGATGGATGAGAGGTGAGACGTAAGCATTTAAACAAACATTTTTCATGTGGGACAAAGAAAGGTTATGAAATAGGAATGTTATGAAACTGGATGGGAATTTTTGATTTTATGAATCTCAGATGAGTTAGATAACCAATATTACATAATTCAGGTAATGTAATATTACTAAAATGCATGGCAACATGACTGTACCTAGTACAAAAAAGGCTGAGTACCAACAGAGATCCAGTGGTGTTATCGTAGGTATCACTCTATAGGCACAGCGGCGAGTGACTGACAGTATCTTAGGTTAGTTGTGATATAATCTAGGGATCAAAACTGGCCAGGATTGGAACCAGATGATTATCACCACTCGAGGTCAGAGTACACCAACAGGACAAACATGAACAAACACAAACAAACGAACAAACGCATACATTTGGCTGGTGTGAGATACCTGTGTTTGACTGTTGAAGGATGTTCTTTCTTCATTCACTGTAGTTTATTTGGTTTGACAGTTTCTTTTTCTGGACATTCTGCTCAGCTGCAAATTAGAACGTTCATGTTTGTCCGATTGATGTACTCTGACCTTTCAAGATCAGCTGATTTATTTTTATTTTGGCTGATTTACATGACTTTATGGCATGAATTAGGTGAGGAAGCAAGATACACGTGCTGTATTTGAACGCTGTACATGCACATTCGTCCATGTGTGGCTACTCACCAGCCAACTGTTTCATATCAGTGCATTCATTTAGCCTGCAAAGTACAAGCTTCTAGAGTAAATAATATTATGGTCTTTGTCGCCAGGGGGATTTCTCAGTTAGCCAGAAAACCTAAACCCAAAGATGGTGACTGTCCAATAAGAATGTCCCTCAGCTCTCTTCCTACTGGACAGACTTGACTTTGGGCTTATCTGGCTACACTGAGAAATCCTGCTTTTGTTTCTATGTTTTTATTTTTTGGGCTAACAGAAGCCTAAAACAATAGAATCAGCACTGCATGATCAGTGCACTCCTAATACATAAGATAAAAACTACTCTGAACACACGGAAAAGTGATCTGTTCCTGCAAGCCAAGAATTAGGAATGTAGCTAAGCTAGCTATGTGAGCAACAATGCTCTGTTATTCCAGTCAGTATCATGTTGATACCACTATAAATCCCATGAGGGTGTGAATTAGTCATGCCTTCTGAATATTTGTGTTCTTTATGTAAAGTGGCAGGACGCTCACATACAAGCTTCCAGAGAATAATATATTTATTGCTGCTGTCAGAACAAAACCTCTTATCAGGATAAGGATAAGGAAAAACGTTCTTGACTTTTCATGGAAGTTAATGGAGAATTTTTTTCCCCCAAGTAATTTTGGACCATTTGTGTTGGTCCAATCATTACAAAATGTTGAGACCACATGAAGAGCAACTGGCTTTTTTGCACAGCTATTTAAGGATGCCTATCATCACTATGAATGTCAGCACTTTTTCAACCCTCATGAGTTTAATTCAAAGGAAGTTTCATAATCAGTCTAAATGCTCAGCCAAGCAGTGTCTTTTAGGAACAATGCCAACTACTGTGCAGCTCATGTGTAACTGATGACCAGTGAAAACCCTTCCTGAAGTGCAACTTGCAACCTGTGCTATGCTGCCATCTGCAGGGTGTTATAACAAAAAGAGTACTGACATACATTCCACAGTTCTGCCCGTGTTCAGGGAAATATGTGTAGCGATACATACTGTTGCTGACAGGAAGAAACGGTAACTTTACAAGAGAGGGAAAAACATTATTAACTAGTAATGGAAGTTAATGTAACAACATTTTGAGCCCTTTCTATTGGTCCATTCATCATGAACTCAATGTAATGCACAGGGTAACTGGAGTATTCAAATTATACAAAACAAAAATGGAGATACAAGTTTTTGTGTGACAGTTTTTTTTTTTGCACTACAGGCCATACATGCTGAACTATCAAAGCTGGTCAAAAGACAAGCAGGAGTCACTGAGATGCAGAAGTGGAATCCAAAATCTGCTCAGCTGCTCGGAGAGAACATAGCACCGTTCCTCAAACCCCCCAAAAAGAAGCCCCCCGTAAGTGAATGACTGCCACTTTCACTGGCATGAAAAAAAATCAATAAAAAATATGCATCTATCTTTTCTTTCTTTTCTTCTATTGTTTCAGGGCATGTCCTGGAAGCTTCTGCTTGGTGCTCTGGTGGTGGCCTTGGGCAGTTTAGTCACCTCAGTGGTCCTGACTGCAAGAAACTAACTTTCTCTCAAGCACTCAGAAGCTAACCTGTAAACAGGTTTCCTCAAGCACTTGGATGCAAGTCCTGTAAACAACCATTCCACAGCACTGCAGTGAGAACAAAGAGGAAGGACAGTGAACTGTTTACTATCCTAGCTCAGCTTCAGCATTGACACCCATGGGCTTACGCATAGCATAATGTATGTGCAGAAATAGGGTCAGACTGATGCCTAAACATTATAATAAAGATCAGTATTACGTGCTTATTTACCCAGTTATGAAATATCTCAATAACTGTGCTCTCACTTGTCACTGAGGCAATAACTGTTAGAGCTGTTCTAATAGGCTTTTTCAGAAGAGATCCCCATAACTAGATGAAGGTTTATTGCAAGAATTCTTTTTAATCTACTGCTGATCTGAATAATGCATGCGGGCAGCTACTTTTAGGCTAATAAAACCAGACCCCACTCTTTTTCAACCCTACTCAACTCTCAGCTCTGTTACCATTTACTTGGTATTACAAGATTTCTTTCAGGAATCAGTAAGATGATGTTTAGTGATTAGTCCAATTCTCATGTTTAAACATGACACCAACAGAGACTTAGTAATCATCACTGAGAGAGGATACTTTTAGATTTTAATATGTTCCACTCAACTCTACAGCAGTGAGACATCACTAAACGTCTTCCCCCTTAATTGCATCAAACGAAGATTTTATAAATGTGACACACAGTCTCTATCAAACACAGTTGTCATTAACGTGGCATGCCGTCCCCATCAAGCAAGATTTTTATAAACGTTTTTTATAAATATACAAATTCATTAAACCGTCTCTCAGTGGACACACAGTGTGTTTTAAAGAAAAAATATATATATCATGCCTAAACTGTCTGAGAGCTTCTGTATTTATTCTGGTTTAAAAGGTGGATTATGGAATCTTCATGGTAGGAATTAGGCAAAGATTTTTATTGTAAAGACAAATTAAACAGTATCTTTTGAAATAAAGGAATATACTGGAGAGTTTTCATTATTTCATGTCTCATGTTGAGTTTTCATGCTTCAAGATTTTAGCAGACTTGGTCAATTTACTAATAAACTGCATAATAAACTTTTAAATACTTCCATTACATATACAAGCTAAAGAATAGCAATACAGTATTGGAGAGAGCACAGAATAATATACAGTCTCATAATCCAATTTTAACAAGAAGGCAAATTAATGTTTTATTATTCCTGAAATTGAGACATTATCTCTTTTTTTAATGAAAGACAAATTTATGTTTAAATTTTAGGAATAATAAAATCTGTGACTGTGAAAATTGAAGCAGTGTAAAGACTAATGCGACTTCCTTCGCTTTGGGACTAGACTGGAGAATGCTGTTTTACTAGCTAATCAAAAAAGCCTTTGCCTACTCTACACTCTGATCACTTCATAACTGAAGAAACAAATAAAGGCAATCATTGTACATAATAAAGGGATGCCCAACCCTGCTTCTACAGATCTAAGCTGCATACTTCTGCTCTGAACCGCATGCCGAATAGTAAAGGTGTAACACTGTCCTGTGATCATAATTTGCCAGTGTTTTTGCTTACTGTTTGGAGCAGAATACACCATACCGCTTAGATCCGTAGGAGCAAGCTCAGACATTACAAATGCAAAAATGTTAGTGTCCATTATACTCCTTATGGCATCTAATGCCATGCTAATAATCAAGAACTTACCATCAAATCACCAACCCAGTATTGAAAATTTAACCATGGGCTGTGCGTATTGTTACATTCCTACTAAAACAGCAGTCTGAAAAAACATTTTAATGAATCCTGTGATTTTAAGACATAGAAACAGTACAAGAAATGTTTTGTGTGTCTGTAATCCATCCAGCCAAAATCCAAACTGTGTGAACCCAAGACTCTATTTAAACCCGTAATTCAAACGTACGAAGGGATGTGGGTTTTGAGACAGGCAGTCAGCTTTTACACTACAGCAGGGGAAGGAACTTAACAGCACACACATGGTCATTATATTTCACATAAAAGGTAGATGCTGGTTCTTTGGTTAGAAAATGGTTCAATAAAACCATGAACGCTTTGCATGCTTAAAGCGTTCTTTAGACTGATGGAGAATGTATTGTAGATGGTTCTGTATGGAACCTTTTTGAAAATGGTTCTATACAGCACCCAAAAGGGTTCTTCTGTTGTGTCAGCTTGTAACAACAGAAGAACCCCTTTGGGTGATTTATAGAACCCTTTTCAAAAAAGGCTCTATTACAGAACTGTCTATAGCACATTCATTCATTTTCCACCAATCTGAAGAACCTTGCAAAGTTCTTTGAGTGTCTGTGGTTCTATATAGAACCATTTTCTTTTACTAAAGAACCCCTGAAGCACCATCTTTTTTAAGCATGTATAACAAGCTCAGAGTATGTTCATTATCAAAAAGCTCAAAGTTTAGAACTCACAGGGGTGACAAGCTGGGAGACTGTAGTCATATTCCAAAAGGAAAATATGTTCTACCATTGAAAATATAAGTGTAATATGTAAATGAACATAATAAAACTTGGTTTGCAGAGCTCAGTCCCAACCTCGCCTCAAATTTTAGGCGATACAATGACCTTGCAGCATATGCTTCCATGAGTAGTCCTCACCTAATCTAACATACTTAGATCCACCTAATTGCAGAGTTCAGGAGCTTGTGAACATTAAAGCGTGTGTTAGGTCAGGGTGGCAGCCCTGCCTTAATAGCAACAGCTTTCAACAATTGAGACTCCTGCACTAAATGTTTTTGTGTTTGCTCTGATCTAACACACCTGATTCAACGCATGAAGAGCTTGCAAATTAGCTTTGAAGTGAGCTAGAAGACCTGAATCAGGTGTGTTTGAGCAGGGATAATCCTGAAGTGTGGCCTTCCTACTCACCTACTCTCTATTTCAAGGCTGCCCCATCTCAAAGCCTGGAAGACTGTTTCAAGTTTCATTCAAGAGGACATGGTGTATTTAAATCAATCAAATTTAATCAAATCACTTTTTCAGCACAGAACATTAAAAAAATGTGGTTATAATAAGAAAGCTAGCCAGACAGCACTGTATAAGGTAACCTTCAACACAGGCATACTCCAATGTAATTTGAATTTCATTTTCACTGTCAAGGAGCACTCCTGTCAATCAAGCACTGTGGATGGGACGTTGACATGGACTTTTTAGAGCAGGGCATGTTTTAAGAAAAAGTGAGGAAAATATAAAATTCGGTGGTAGGCTAATAGAATTTAGCTAGATGCTTGTTTACAATGCAGAGCTAGCAACAGCAATACTGCCCGACACATTTTCACACTTGCCAGCCAAGACAAAGATAGTCCTGTCGAGAGTGATTTCCTCTGAATTTGAATTATGTCTTAAATAATGCACTCACAGAAGATATGAAATTGTAAATACACAGTTTAATCAGCATTTTCAAATCTGTATTTGAATTTGAAAAAAGTCTGGAATATGCTGTTATAGTCCTGATGCTTTGCTGTTGCTCTTGCCACAAGTTTTACTGTTTGATTCCAGACCAAATGAATCCCAAAAAGAAAAGAGTAAGAGCTAACAAACTTTAATCCCCATGCTGATAGAAGCTGGATTTATAGAAAAATCCAGTACTTGAGTTTTTGGACCTAATATGGTTTTTTACAAAGTTACTTAAGCTGTTTCTGGTGGCTACATTTACTCCTACTTAAGTCATTATTTCTCATAACAACCTGACTTGGTTTAAACTACTCTAACCAATCAATTTAGCTATCCTAAAACCCTTCAGGGATAATGGTAGTTAGCTTAGCTAGCCAGATTAAATAACATCCAAACAAATTTAGTTAACTAAACATATGCTGCTTTCAATTGGCCTCGGTTTTATCAGAAAACATCAATAAAAGTGTAACGGGATGCGAGCAGGGGGCCCAGAGGCTCTGAGTCAGTCAATCAGAGTAAACAGAGGAAATACTAGAGTACCTGAACAAGCTGCTGTTTTGTGGACGCAGATCATAACATAACAAACTGACTGTCCTGTGGTTCATCCTCAACATGTTTTCTATCACATGACCATTTTTAATGTGTCACAGCAAGATGTTGTTGTGAGAGTTAGGGTTCATTTACAGCACTCTGCTAACGACTTAGGAAACTTGTATCAGAAAAGAGATGATGTGCCCAACAAAAGATTAAATACTGCGGAAAAGTATTTGATAAGTGGCTAATGCATACCTGTACACTCGTCTTTCAAACAGTAAAATAACTGAAATGGTATGCTATGTTGTTTCTCAGACATTAGCCCATCAGAAATACTTTAATGATAAACAAATCATTAAACTCCAAGATTTAACGTAGCTAGCAAAGTGTGCTTATTCATGTCAAATCCGCTTTACTGACAGCAGCTCCACCTTTTTATGCCAGTAGAATAAGCTAAAGCAGGAGAAAGCAGCACACATATTTAACTAACTGTGCTCTTTTATAATTTATTTCACAATCTTTAGACACTAAAACGTATGTTCACTTTACACAACAGCTTGTAGCAGACAGTATCAGAGGCAGTACTCGGAAAACTGTCTGAAACAGCGGCTATAATGCTGTTAATTTCAGATACAGTAGCAGTATAAACGGTTCATGGCAGTGCAAGTATACGCACAAATAAAACGGCTGTAGCGTTTAACCATCAGTACTTCAGCGTATTATTATAGCAGTGATCAGTAATTATTTTGGACATTCTTTTGTAAAGTATCAACGTTAAAAATTCACTGCTCATGACCTGTTTTGCCGTTTCTAAGGAAAACTCGTAACATTCATAAGGCTTGACTGACGTCAAGGTCTGATGCGATTGACTTACAACTTCTGAGGTCCGATTTGATTGGTCAAGCCGGCTTAACGCTTTTCCTTAATGCCAAACCGAAGACTCCTTTATCTAGTCTCTGTGCCAAACAGCAGAGGATTTGCCATCTCCACATACTTTAGAGAATCTCTGCGAACAGTCAAACAACGGAAAGCAATCAGATAAACTGTACAAATACAGTAAATGGTTAAGTACGTTTTATACGTGCACAGTTACCCCGTTATAATTCTGCTTCGTTTGAGTTCAAAACACCAGTAAAATAGGCCAACACCGATAGAGCCCAGCTAGTTAATAAACTACAACTGCCATTTCACATCCTCAGTATTCCGTTTATCTCTCATAAAAAACACATGAACGCGCATGATGGGTGAACGAGCTGCTCCACTGAGAAGGTCGGGATGGTGTTCTCAATTTCGAGCTCAGCGTATAATTTAAAACCAACATTACTCCGTACACTGTAGCTAATACAGATCCCCTTCACTGCTTTACATTAGATTTGCTTTTGATCCGTGAACATACAGACACCGTGGTTTGTTAGAACTCTGGCCATAAAGCTCCCAGTTTTTAGAAGGTAAATGCGTCATGAACGTTTAACTGATCTCTCTCATTAGCGTTAGCTGGCTAGCTTGATACTAGCAACGCTCTCTTTCGTGGAGGCGTCCGTGTTTTCCTTACTTTCTAACTCGAGCGCGCGGAAACTTAAAACGGCGCAATTCTGAGCTTCGACTTCCCACGTCCGAGCAAAGGCGAACGCAGCATTAGCCAGCAATCTTTTCTACCTCGTCCTGAATTGTGTTTCATAGAGCTCGTTACCTTACCAGCTCACCAGGCTTCCGCCGATAATCGCCACATAGGCTCCGGCAGCTGCGGACGGCACGAACCGCTGGGGGCGCGCTGACCTGAGCTCCACCGTCCGAGAGGAATGGGTTCCATTTCAGTGACGTCACAATGGGGTTTAAAATTTTAAACGCTCAGTATTGCGTTGGTCTCCACGGCAACATTAAATCTAACGCTACTACGTCACAAATGTTGGCCTAATAGGACAAATCAGCGTTACGTCACAGCAGCAAAGAACTGATTTCCTTTGTTGCACTGCTTGCTCTTTGTTAACATTACCAAGATAGCAAGACTTATATCCACAGGCTGACTTGATAAGGTCAGCACCCACTGACTGTATGCCACTACTGGTCCACCCTTGGACCACTCAGATTATTGTCCTGCATAAGGTCTAACTATTTTTAATCTCCTCAAACAGATTTTAAATAGCCTTTTATTTTTGAAAATAAACTAAGACAAATATTCCAAACAGTTGAGAGAAAAAAATTAATGCGTAAATCAAATATAAAATGATTTTGTTAAAAATGCTCTTGCTGACACAGTGCTAGATTAGTTACAGCTGTATAATTGGCTTTATTACAGTTAAAAGTATTTACTTTAAGCTATTTTACAAAGAATAACAAAAGAAGGAAATTAAGAAAAATAAGTAAATTGGACTCTAAGTGGAAAATAAGCAATGAAAAGTTACATGTTGTCCTACACTCCTTACTGCCTAAACACCAGTGGGCCACCCAGAAAATGCTGAGCAAAAAGCCAGTGAGCCGGCAGCTATGCCATCAGTGGGCCAACAATGGCTCGGCCCACTATTGTCCTGCTGTCGGGGTATATATTGTGCTCAGTCACCCCAAACAGAACTAACTGTGTGTGTGTTTCTTTGCCAAGCTGAACTACTGCCCATCTTGTCCAGTCTGATGCTTTTGCTTCATCTGCCATAATCTGGTGTCCCTGCTCGCCAGCCCCCTGGACCAGCTTGACCACTATTGAGCTTCCTGCTGTCCAGTGCTGTGCAGAAAGCCTCACCTGCATGCCACTCAACCTCCTTATGATACTGGTGCCTACACAGACTCAGCCTATTTAATTATAGCCACTGTTTCACCTGCCTCACAATACAATTTGCATTTCTCATATTCATAGTAACCTACTATGGTCACTGGTGTTCATGGATTTAACTCTCATTTTCACAGTGATACCCTCCTAACAGTAGTCATTGTTTTTTACTGGTAATAGTGACTGATTTTATAGATCTATAAGATTGTATTTACTGTAATGGTGCCTTAAATTGAGCTGCTTTCACGCTTACTGGATGTGAGTTATCCACCCAGAAGCAGAGCAAAACCTTGTTTCCAAACATGGTGATTAGGTCTATAGCAGTCCATAGTGTGAGAAAGCAATAGAAAATGCTGGCAAACGCTGTGCAGTTCAGTACCTGAAATGTAATTTTATCAGTTTCAGTGTGTTTCTGTTGCACTTGTTTTGTTTTTTCATTATGCAACAGTGAAGTTCATCTCAGTCAAGGCAGTGTTTTCCAACTCCAGTTCTGTAGTCGACCTCTGCTGTGCAGTTTCTTGTTTTCCTTGCTGAGGCTGAGCACATCATTAGCTAATGATTAAGTGCTTCTGGAGCTGAATCAGGAGTGTAAAAAGCAGGACAACACTGTGCAGTGCAAGTGGACAACAGGACCAGTAGTGGGAAACAATGTCATAAAGCCTGAGTGCCTGCTCCCTCCACAAAATCTCCACATACAAAATCTCTTCCAAATGTGCCTCCAGTGCCACCAAAAGGAAATTCATGTTTGTATTTATATTCACTTCAGATGTTCTCATTTGTCATCATGTACATGTGTTTAGAATAAAGTTGTTGGAGGACTGCATCTGCTGAGAAGGAGCAGGAGCAGCTGGGCAGAGGCAAGCTGGATTAGCAAGTTTGTCGATAAACGGGGCAACTAGCCCTCATGGAGAACACCCAGCTTGACATATAGAACCATCTACAGCACATTCTCCATCAATCTGAAGAACGTTGTCACGATGCAAAGAACCCTTTCACCATGCAAAGGTTTCTTTGAGTGTTCATGGTTCTATACAGGGCCATTTTCTTTACTAAAGAACCTTTGAAGAACCATCTTTTTTAGGAGTGTGCTCTTCAACTCAGTGTGGGTTAATTGAACTGATTAGTTGAATCGGGTGTGTTGGGAGCAAGGAAACACTACATGTGCAGGGCATGAATACTCCAAGACCCGCGTTAACTCATTCATAGACCAATGAGGACAACAACACAGCGCATTCTTTTTAAAAAAGCTGGCATTTTAATTTCTTTTTGACTTTGGAAATGGATACAGGTGCAGTTTATACCCGTCCATCCCGCCCCCCTGTGTTTTGACGAATTGTGCTGCACTTCTAAAACGTTCTACCGTGCCGCATATTTATATAGGTAGCTCCCTACAACTGTAAGTAGGATATCAAAAAATAAAAAAATTCTACCACTATTAAAATGTTTGTCCAAGAGAACATTGCTTACGTCAGCTTTTTTTAAAAAAAAACAAAAAAAAACGGTTGCATAATTTCTGCGCGTTTGGTGGCGCAGCATTTTAGTTCAGTGCTACCCCTGACATTGGTAAGCCGACATGCAAAGCCTTATACTGTAGAGCGTCTCCATAAAACAAACAAAAACGTACCAAACTAAAGCATGGTCCCTCCGGCTGTACACGGTCAATCGGTGGCGAGCTAGTGGCGAAGTCTGGCTCGTGAACGAATCGTTCTTTTGAACAGGTTCTTTTCAATAAATTTGTCAAAACGATTCACAACTCAAACTGAATTTTACGTCTGTGTTTTCGGCTAAGGACTTCTATAAAACATGAATAAAACTATACTTCGCATTTTAACCTCATAATCTCTCACTCACCTAGTTGAACCGAATTCCGTCGTACGTGGAGGAGGGATATGAGAATAATGTTTACATGTTTTAAGGAATCGAGGAATCGGGATTGTCGATTCATTCAAACGGACAGTTCAAAAGAATCGGTCTGGTGAACTGAATCGAACTAGTCGCTGGCTCACGCCCTACTGAAGAGAAACCGACCAATAGGATTCGCAAGACACATACAGTTCCCAATAAGAGCACGCAGTGTTCATGACGTCGATGCGTTTGATCCAATCACATTTCGCATTTCTTGCATATTTCTCGCTGTGGTGTGCTTCGTTGTCAGTCTGTAGAAGAGACGACGGACTGCCGGGCGAACGGTTTCTTGGTGGGGAAAAAAAGAAAGCGGCCCTTTGGGTGAGCTTGTTTGGAAACGAGACGAAGCTGCTTAAAAATGACGAGTGAGTATGTGTGTAATCGACCTATGAATGCAGTTTGTGTCCTCTCGGTTTGTTGGAGCGCTTACGCGGAGAGCGTGTATGGCGGTGATGTGTCTGCGGCCTGTTGTTGATGGTTTGCAGTCTACGTGTTCAGGACTGCTTTAGCTTTAGCTTTTCCGTCTGGTTAGCATAATCCGGTGATTCTTACGCATCAGTTCGAGAAAATGGCCGTTTGCGTGCAGTAACGAGCTACTGTAAAAGTTATTATGCATGTTGTTTTGTAATTATTCTAAATTTGAAGAAATGCCACCAACGTTACAAAGTAATGCTGTGTTAAGGCGCTAGCCTTACTAGCTAGGTAGCTATCGTAGCTAACTAGCTCCAGAATGCGGAGACGCCCAGTGTTCATTGTGTATTAGCCAGATGCGGCCCTGTGTCGTGTCAACGTTAATTCTTGGATTTGGCAGGTAAATGTCATGCGATCTGCTTTGTGAGTCGTTTGGCAGTCCGTAAAAAATACTGGGTCCTGCAGCGAGCCCTTAGCCGTTTTAGTCTTGTCGACAGTCGCATTGTGTCTGTCTTGTTATTGGAAGCAGAACCTACTTAACCCAGCCAGCGTAGGACTTTCATCTCATAGACACACCGCCAGAGCGTACGCTATTCCCATTTCTCATCCACTTTTCCTTTTTAGGGGGAAATCAGCGCGAACTGGCCCGTCAGAGAAATGCCAAGAAGCAAGGCGACATGAGCAAGGGCAAAAGAAACGAAGATGGTCTTTCTGCTGCTGCCAGGAAGCAGAGGTACAGTAGACCGCTGAATTTGACACTTGTTTTGTTCAGTATTTTAAAGTTATGAAAGACTAGGGGAAAAGTGCCGCTTTCTGTTTTCAAAGTCTCGAAGAAGGTTCTGGAAATTGTAGGTTGTAAGCAGAGGAACTGGCCCCGCCCACTGGCTCCAAGTTCTGTAGATAGTAGTTTTTTTTTTCCCTATGGAATATTTTTTTTTTTAATGTGTTTTGTTTAAAAAGAAAATATATTTTTATTAAAAGTAAAACTTTTAACCATAACATTTATTTAAGGATACTTAAAACTATGAATGTTTTATGGGTTTGTAATTCTAAATCTGTCCTGAAACATACATACATACATACATACATACATACATACATACATACATCATCTAAACCGCTTATCCTTCTGGGTCGCGGTGGGGTGCTGGAGCCTATCCCAGCTGTCATTGACCGGAAGGCAGGATCTGTCCTGAAACAGTCATATTGTATTACTTTTTCTGTTTGTATTCATTGCTGTTATACATCTTGATGGTAAAATGATTAGGAAAGTGGCAGCAGTAGTGGTTGGATTGACTCTTGACAGTGTTCAGTCAGTCTTTGAGCAGACTTTTGTAGAGATGTGTGAGAGAACATGCATGTAAAAATGCTTTGCTGCCATTTAAGGTGATTAGTATAAGTTAGTCAGTGTCAGTGTTTGTGATTTGAATGGGTTTTAATTTGGTGTTTCAGTCCAGATGCTGATAGTTGTGTGAATACATTACATTAATGTGGCGTAATTACTTGCTGTAAAACATGACAACCAAAATGCCAGTTTTTTTTTTTCTAATGAGCAGAAGGTTGTGGGTTAAGCAAGCATGTGACAAAGTGGCCCTTTGTAGGAAAATACAGTTTTGCATTTTGCATCTGTATACTGCTCAGCAGAGAAGTCAGCTTTATTTGGCCAGACTGGTGTGCTGCTATCTCTTTAATTAATTTTTATTTTTGCTTCATATTGCTGACTTTTCTCTTTCCCTCTTTCTAGGGATGCGGAGATAATGCAACAGAAACAGAAAAAGGCCAATGAAAAAGCAGATACAAAATCAAAGTAGCTTCATGGCTGGAAGGAATCCCCTTCACACTAAGATGATCCTCAGTAAATGTTATCATTGGTGTTACTAGTCTCCATTGGGATTTTCTTTGTGTTCTAATCTCCAGTGTACAAGACGTTCTTGTACTCTTTCTGTCAGGACATTTTATATTGTGTAGCTTCAGGAAGATGAATCATTTCCAATCAGAATTCGGTTCTTTGCTTCACCGCAGTGTGCAGGTCTCACTTCTCTTGATCAGTATTTACAATGTAAAAAGCAAGAATTACAGACCGCTCAGCTTGGAACCACAATCTTGTATTTTTATACCCCCTCCTCCTTTAAACTTGCGGAATAAATTGTAGCTCCTAAACACAGATTGGTTTGGGTGTTTTTGTGCTTGTAAGTACCATAGACCTTTGAGAGACCAATTTGGTCAGTGCCTATGATATTCAACTGACTGTTAAGCTGACTTGGAGATTTTGACAAACAAGCCTTGTAACTTACTCTGCAATGAGAGAACCTTGAAGTTACTAACATTATGTGCTGCCATTCTCAGTATACACCTATGACATGTCTCCAGATGGAGTTTTGTTTACCATCTAAAACGAAAATTAGGGGGTTCAACGGATCATGCCGTGGAAAAATTGTTTAAAAATTGCGTAGGGCTGGGTATCGTTAAATTTTTCAATATCAGTACCAGTATCTCTTACAGTGCTTATTTCAAAAAAGTTTTGAAGACACAAAAGTGGATGTTAGACTTGATTCAGATACTTAAAGTAGGTATATTTACTGACTGCACTGAATTTCAGACTGTGTTAAACATGCATATGTAATGTAATCAGTGTATGTTGAAACAAGCATGCCTATTGGTTCATGGATGCTGAGACCTACAAGAAATTTGGTACTGAATGAATTTTTTGACTCTTCCCGCCCCCCCCAAACTCATTCCTTGTATGAAACAGAAATAATGCAAAGCAGAATAGGTTTGATCAGTGTTTACATCCGGCTCCACTTTACAGTGCAGACTTGGCCAATTACCTTTTCGCATACCTTTTTAAGTTCTGTTTTAACACAGGTTTGAGAAATTCATAGAACAATTGACATTCTGTATTTTTGTAAGACATTGGTCCTGAAACATGATCTGTCTTAAAGTTCTCATCCCAACTTAATGTAGGAAAACTTACTCAAGCCCATTGTATCTGCCAATCGTTTGCATTTAAGGTGGTTTCAGCAGTTGATAGTTGTAACGTGAACATGTGTGTGTGCTTGGATGGACAGAGGCCAGCTTGCTTCCACCATGTCACTGTAGTCCCATCAATGTCCTGGCTAATATGTCTGCTTATAAACTGGGTAACATGAAATTTACCTGAAATTACCCCTTATAACGGCTGTTGGAGGAAACTTTTTCATGTGGTAAAGTTCATAAGGACCATCTGAGTGCACTACAAATTAGTCTTTTTAAAAGGCACACTTTAAATTATACAACATTCCATATTCTCTCCTTATGTCAGTCATATGTATGTGGTTCTATTTTTAAATTGGTACTTTTTATTCACAACCATTATAAATAAAACAATTTAAAAATTATGTTCCAGGATTGTCAATGTGAAACATGCTTCAAAAAGGCTACCACCTGTGTGCAGCATTTGAAGAAAGTATATAATAAAAAAAACTAACCTTAAATATCATGAGTCCTATGTTAGTTTTACAGTTTGTAATGCAGTTTCACAGACTCTCACTTTTTGAACTCTGGGAATGATTATATTGCAGTGTTCTCTCTGGGTCACCTTCTTCAGACACTGAGGAGGTGGGTACAAGACAGTTATTTACTGAAAACAAACATTTCCGTGTAAGGAATGCATTAACAGAGAAGCACCAACTCAGTATCAGTGAGATCTAAATCTCCAGGTTGCTGCTAAGGCCAAGAGAAATTCTGAAAAACTAAAAGTTTATTTTTGGACATTCATAAACACTGGCCTCATGTATCCCAAAAGAGCACTGCTTTGTTTACATTACCACAAAACATAACATGGATGCAGTTGTAGTTTGTTTACCATTCAGAAGAGGGCACATTTTTGCCTCTATGCGCCAAGGCATTCTGAACAGCTTCAGTGTTTAATTATGGATCATTTTATAATCCTGCATAATCACAACAAATATGATCAAAATACCTTTTATTTTTCATAATAGCCAAATCAATATTTATACAAAACTTAATACATTTAAAATTACAATATAAAAAAAACAAACAAACAAAAAAATAAATACTGACCCCATCTCTAAAGTGAAGGTGGAATTTGATCTTTTCAACACATGCATGATCAGTGACAAAAGCCCTTGTGAACTACACCATCAACGTGCTCAGCATCTGTTTAAAACTTTAAAAAAAATCATGTAAAGCACCACTTAAGGGGTGATCATCAAATCGCGCTTAAAATATAGCTTTGCATCTTCAACTATTACAACAGCAGCTTATACATATAAAACTGACTTTAATCAACTTGTGACTTAAGTAAACGTTCCTTCATGTGCATGGCTGTGTGATGAGCAGTCATAGTCAGACTCCACAGCAGTTACTCAGTGCCTTTTTTCCTCCATTTAGACTCAGCTTCACCTGGGACTCCGACTTCCGTCTCAGTCTGGCATTTTTCTTAACCTCTCTGTGAGAAAGAAGTCAAGCCTTAGAACTAAACTTCTGATTGCTCAATTTTTGAAAAAGAATTAAAACCTTTTGGAATTAAAAGGGAATAATCAACTTAATCACCAAGAATCTAGAGAAATGTACAGAGTCAGAACTGTTCACAGCAGTGGTGATAGGAACCAAATGTCTTACGAGTTTAATGCCTCTAAAAGCTCCCTCACAGAAAGTCATTACATGAAATTGTTACGAATACACTGCCTGGTATCTGAGACATTGTTTTACAATAGGTTTGAAATCAGCTTTTGGCCTTAAACCTGTTTTTAAAATACATCCATGGCAGAGAGGTACATGCAGGATATTATAAGCCAACATAGTACGTAAAGAAGGCTTCTGTTTTGTATTCATTTCTGGGTGGTGTCAGTATTATAACAAAAGCATAGTGTAGTATAGTAGGTCTTCAGATGGAACATAGAATGGTTGCAGTGTTTGTTTATACAAACATGCATGTAAAACAAGTACATCCCTTTTTCTACTGGATATCCATGTACACAATTAGTATTACTGTCATTTTCTAGTTTTATTATCTGTATTATAGGTTATATAATAGTTTGGGTTAGTTAACAGCAAATCATTGTTTTTTGATGTACAGGTACAGATACACCAAAGTTGAAGTAATGAATAACAAAACGGTAAAATTCGCATGCGCTCATTTATGAATAAGGGCCACTGTCATCACTGGTTCCACCGCCATAAAGTTTTACATCAGACCACTCTGAATGCCTTTCTTTACAACACAATCAATTAAGCACAAAAAAGTGTGTGTGTAAATATATATAAATGCACAAACATCTACAACATCTTACCTTGCTAAATGCAGAACAGCCTCCACTACATTGGTACCTTCTTTGGCACTTGTCTCACAGAACAAAGCGTTGTAAGTCTGCAGTTACAGAGACTGATCATCATTAAAGAGAAAAAAAAAAATAAAAAAGGTAGAATAAGAACAACTTCTGTTTCTTTTCAAATATGAAGAAACCGCCTCACCATAGCAAGTTTCTCCCCCTGGGCAGAACTCACACAGCTTCCCTCTGGCCTCTCCGCTCTCATGTCCACTTTGTTCCCAATCACACACAGTGGGATACTCCCATCCGTGGACTCCTGAGAGATGCAGAGAACCATTTTACTGCACTAATTGAATAAAGCACTGACACAGGCACAAAACATTTACAGTTTGAAAGGAGAAAGTGTACATGCCTAGGAAATACCTGAATCTGCTCCATCCACTCTCGGACATTTAAGAAGCTGCTCTCTGAAGTGACATCGTAAAGAAGTAGCACCCCGTGGGCTTTGCGGAAGTAAGATCTGGCAATGCTGCGAAACCTGTTCGAAGGTAAAAAGAAAATTGACATTTCAGAGACATAAATGTACATCCAGAGGGACATTTTGCCCAAAATGTCACATTTTTACTTAGCATAATAGGCTGAAATGTGCCTTCAAATAGGGTCCATGAAGTTACAGTACTGCTACTGTTGTGCACTGGTGCTCAGAAGGAAACCGTGTCGCTCCACACATCAAATACTCATGTCTGAACTTTAACAAGTTTGTGATGTGATCTTGTCGCAGGACCAATAATGAATCAGTGTTTGCACTGCTCAGGCAGACTGCATCAGTACCTGCAACACTGAACATGTGATACTACTTCCACAAGTTTAATAACTCAACAAACAGCTATTTATTTATAGATAAACAGATGTATGCATACCTCTCCTGCCCAGCAGTGTCCCATATCTGAAGGTTTGTCTTTTCTCCATCTACAAGCATCTTCTTCATTTGAAAATCAACCCCTAGGATCAGCAATCACTCCTCTTTTATTCAACTGGCATAGTAGACTGTCAATTATGCAAATTAACAATGTAAACTATATGTAACACTTATTAGCATACTTAAAAAGCTTACCAAGAGTAGTCTGCATGTCTCCTCTGAACTCATTTAGACTCAGACGCAGCAAAAAGCTAGATTTGCCTGACCCTGCATCCCCCGCCAGCACCAAGCGGTACATTGGAACAGACCCAACAGAATCAAACAAGTCTGCTTCAGTTTGCTGCAAATCAGAGAAATTCAATTTAATAGCAGAAAAGCGTTCATGGGATCGTCTTAATGTCTTTTTTTTTTTTTATACAAAACAAACCCTAAACGACTGCTTTCTTTATATTATTCTTGCTGATGTGGTGCAACAGTTAATCACTCCAGAACAATGTTTAGCTACTCTAGAAGCAATGTAATCTTAGGCCCAATTCCATTTCACCCCTTGCCCCTACCACTTAGCCCTTAGCCCGTCTGTTTTGCGTGTTCATGTCTAGGGGTAGGGTGTCCCAATTTTTGTTGAGATAGAGGGGTAGGGTGAAGTGTTAGGGCTACATGGCCCTCCAAACGGAGGTTTTTCAGAGGCTCACTCCAAATGGAGTGTTATCAGAAAAAAAAAGAAAAACCGGCAAGATGGCTGCACGAGCAACCAAAGAAACCCACAAATTTGAGTATTTTCTCCAGTAAAAATTAAGCTAACAATTGTATTAGTTTAATGTCGTTTCTATGTATTATGGTCGTTTTCTTCATAACAAGCATAAAAGTAATAGCATGCTAATGTTTCGGTAGCTAGCTAGCTAACTTTCCCGTTCCACCTTAAATAGTCAGCAGTTCTGACAAGTGAAGCGCCAGAATGTAACTGCTGCACGA